GCTAATGAGACATTTTCCACCCCACCTTTTTCACAGAGGTTATTTAGGAGGAAATTAGATAGCATGTGTGGAATGATTAAATTTCTTGCCGTGGTCTTGTCCAGTGTCAGTAGCCCATCACATACTCCATCCTGTTCCTAGAGGCTTGATTTTTAGCTCTGCAGAAATTTCAAACCTGGCAGATTTAACAGGATTTCCAAGTACTGACGCTTTTCCCAGTAACCGCTGACCCAAACACTGCTTAGCATCCTGGTCCACAGCTGATTGCTTTTACAGTATCTCCTATCCCTGCTGAAGCAATGGCAAACGTCCCCACCCCAGCCCCAACCTGGAATTCTGGCACTGGGACAACTTTTCTTGGCAGTACTGAACTTCAGCTGTGGCTTGGCCCTTCCCTCTCCTCAAGCCAGCCCAGTTAGCTTTGCCCAGCGCCAGTTGCACCAACTTAATTACAACCAGATTCACAGCAGCCCTGTCGATTCTTCCATTTGGTAGGAGAGTTTCGAACAACAGTGTCCCTGGGTTTCATGCTAGTAGAGCGAGGAGATGGTATGGGGGAAGAGAATTGGTAATTTTGATATTTTTCATCATAAGCCAACATTAACATTTTAAGTCTTAAAACATAGAACAAAGTGGTCATACTTCCCTGTTTTTATCGAACTTTTGGAAATCATATGTAGATTACACACAAAGAGAGATGAAAAGGCGGAAGGAAATGAAACATGGGAAGGTTGAGGTCAATACAATGGAAAATCACAGCTATCTTTACAAGAAGCATTTTAGTGCCATTGTTCCTCAAAAAAATAAGCTATTATCACTATTCCCATTTCATAGTTGGGAAATATAAATCAAAAGAGGTTAAATGGCTTGTTCAAGATAATCAGCGACAGGATCTAAATTTTTCCTCTTGACTTAAGGGCTCTCTCTGTTCTTGTTCTTACCTTCCTGTGCTCCACCTTGTGAATTGTTTTCAACCGTAAGCTTCCTATCATGTCCATGAAATAATGTTATAATGACTAAGAACCAATACTATTTTCAGTTTAGAGACCAAGAACCTGAAGTCCACAGAAGTGAGGAATTTCAGCTTAAAATGTTCCTGCTCTAAACACTCATGGAAGCAGCAGTCAAGAAATCAAACAACATATTGCATTAGGCAAATCTGCTGCACAGGACCTTTTTAAAGTGCTGAAGAGCAAAGATGTCAGCTTGAGGACTAAGGTGTGCCTGACCCAAGCCCAGGGTATTTTCAATAACCTCATATGCATATGAAAGCTGGACATTGAATAAGGAAGACTGTAGGAGAATTGATGCTTTGGGGTTATGGTGTTGGAGGAGAATAGTAAAAGTGCCATGGGCTGCTGCCGAAAGAGCCAATAGATCAGTGTTGGAAGAAGAACAGCCAGAGTGTTCCTTGGAGGCCAGGATGGTCAGACAGTCGCTGGAGAAGGATATTATGTTTGGTAAGGTGGAGAGTCAGAGAAAAAGAGAAAGACCCTCAGCGAGATGGATTGGCAGAGTGGCAGCATCTATGGCTACAATTGTGAGGTTGGCCCAAGACTGGGCAGGGTTTCGTTCTGCTGTGCATACGGTCGCTGTGAGTCTGTGCCAACTCAATGGTACCTAACAACAAGAACAACTCTAAAACCCACAAACAAACCCACTGCCATGGAGTTGATTCCAACTCATAGCAACCCTATATAGAGTTTCCAAGACTGCAAATCTTTACAGAATTAGACAACCTTGTATTTCTCTGGCAGAGCAGTTGGTGGGTTTAAACCACCAACCTTGTGGTTAGCAGCCCAACTAGACAAGAGCATGTTGCCCTATCTACTATTCTCAACAAAGGTAAATGCCTAATTAAAATGGTCTTTTTTTTTTTTTTGCAGAACAGTTTTTGATAGATTTCCAATGAAAAAAATCAGTGATTCAGACACAGTGGCAATGGATACAGTGTATGGCAATGTGATGTACCTACCATTGTTATTGTTGTTAGGTGCCATCGAGTCGCTACTGACTCATAGTGACCCTGTATACAACAGAACAAAACACTGCCTGGTCCTGGACCAACCTCACAATCATTAACATCAGAGCCCATCACTGCCCTCACAGAGCCAATTCATGTGCCAGTTTATCTCTCTGGTGGTCTTCCTCTTTTTCTCTGACCCTCCACTTTACCAAACATGATATCCCTCTCCAGTGACTTGTCCCTCCTGACATGTCCGAAGTATGAGAGACAAAGTCTGGCCATCCTGGCTTCCAAGGAGTACTCTGGCTGCACTTCTTCCAACACAGATCTGTTTGCTCTTTTGGCGGTCCATGGTACTTTCATTTTTCTCCTCCAACACCATAACTTACATGCTTGCCATTTCTTCTCCCTCCCACATTTCGCCAAGAGAATTCTTTATATTCCTCTTCATTTCAGGACATCACTGTGCAGTTCCAACACCCCCCTTGCTTCACTGCAGATACACTCCTGCAGACACAAGCCTCTATCCTTTGGACTAGCAGCTGAGTATGTTAATTGTTTGCACCTACCAAGAACTCTGGTGAAGATCAGAGGCAGAGATTTTTCCATTTGTTCTGTTAATGCTTATTTCATGTTAATCAGCTATTACAAAAGAGGTCACTCAATCACCTGAAGATAAGCAGAAGAGAAAAAGCACTTTCCAGTGCTCATCACTGAAGCATACATTGTTGTTGTTAAGTGCTCTTTAGTGCTGAGACTTCAGTGCAATATAGATTGTAGTTGTTATTAAGTGCTTTCATAGAGACTCTGTAAACGGTTTCCAAGGAGCAACTGGTGGGTTTGAACTGCTGACCTTGTGGTTCGCAGTCTAGTGCTGATCCTACACCAGGAGTCTGCTACATATATTGTTATTGTTGAGGGCTGTTGAGTCAGTTCTGACACATAGGGACCCTATATAGGGTTTCCAAGGAGTGGCTGGTAAGCTTGAACCAAGGCATATATTGTTGTTGTTGTTGTTTAGGGCCATCGAGTTTGTTCTGATTCATAACAATCCTGTACAGGGTTTCCAAGGAGCTTCCAAGGTGACTCTGACCTTGTGGTACAAAGCGACCTTCCGATCCTGTGCTTTATCCCACAGTGCCACACTAGGACTCTTCCATATATATTAGGGAGATCAAAGGAACTCTGGTAGCGTAGTGGTTACGAATCGGGCTGCGAACCACAAGGTCAGCAGTTCGAAACTGCCAGCTGTTCTGTGGGAGAAAGATGAGGTTTTCTGTTCCCGTAAAGATTTACAGCTTCAGAAACCCTGTACAGGGTTGCTATGAGTCGAGACCGACTCCATGGCACTTAACAACAACAACAATGGTTTCCACTCCTCAGAAATCCTATACAGGGTTGCTTTGAGTCTCAGTGGACTCCACAACGCTTAACAACAATGAGCCCTTGACTCCTGGTTTGGTGCTATAGGCTCAACACTGGATTGTGAACCACATGGTCAGCAGTTCAAACCCACTAAGTGCTCCTTGGGAACCCTATACAGGATCTCTATGAGTCAGGATCGGCTTTGACGGCACTTAACAACAATAATGAGACTCAGGACTCTTGGTGTGGCACTGTAAGATTAGCACTGGACTGTGAACCACAAGGTCAGCATTTCAAACCCACCCGCTGCTCCTCGGACACCCTATACAGGGACTTTATGAGTTTGAACCTATTCAGTGGCATTTAACAACAACAACAATGAGACCCAATTGGAGTCCTGGTGTAGCACTGTAGGATAAGCACTGGACTGAAAGTTCATTTGAACCCTGAAGTTCAAACTTACCAGTTGCTCCTCGGCAATCCTAAACAGGGATGAGTCAGAGCTAACTCAATGGCATTTAACAACAACAATGAGATTCAGTTAGAAAACCTTCCTCCTGTTCTTTCTTACTTCATGTGAGCAGCAAATGCTACTATATGAAAAAACTCAGGAATGTTGCTAACTGGCTGTTTGGACTGTTGTGTGCGTCTCTGTTTCACATGTTTGCCTGGTTTGCATTATGATTTTTTTTTTTTTTTTCTTGCTGGGAAACTACATAGACTTTCTTCCTTTCTTCAGAAGGAGCGGGACCTGTTGGAAATCTGAGGTTTCAAGATTCAAATGCAATGGTCTTGGCTGTAGTGCATTTCTTGACAAGTCCTGAAAAGCTATTGAATTCTTCTGGCTCCTGCTTTTCTGCAGTCTTTTTTTGGATGTGGTTCAGCTGCAGTGTTTGACTAGAGAGAGTAATTGAAATCTTTTTTTTTTCCCCCTTCAGCAATCTTGTTACAATTTCATCTTTATAGTTAAAATGGAATGTTTTATTACTATGCAAATAGTTCTGAATACAATAGAATCATAACTCTTTCACAAGAAAACAACCTATATCTTTAAAGATGACAAGTAAATAGATCAAACTATAAACTGGTGGAACTCTCCTGATAGAAAAATTGGCAGGCATTTGGTGACCTAACTAGAAGGATACCAAGTTACACTGAAGATCATTTTGTAAAATTAAATACAAGCCTTTTGGAGAGACTTTCATGTAATAGAGAAAGCAATTATTCCTTTTGCCTTTCATACAATTACAGCAGTGGATCTGGTGGTCTCTGCAATGTTACAGCATTTGCATGTGTCCTGGTTTGGGGGATTTTGATGCTCTGTGTCACAGACAATTGGTTCCCTGGTAATCTTCAAAAGGCTGCTGGCCTTTGAATCTGGTCCATTTCACAAGTTCTAGCTTTAATGATCAGATTAGCCTGCATTTTTTCCTTTGTGATTAAAGAGGCAAGAAGCTGAAATGTGCTTATCATTTTGCAAAATACTCGAGATGATGGGATCCCAATATTTGACTTTTTTTCTGGTAATGAGAGCTGATCAAATTATAAACTCCTTTGAGCCAAGAAGGAGAATTAATAAATCAGGGGAATAGAAACTTTGAGTGGCATGATAGAAGTGGTTGTTCGTGTGCTGCTGTTTGCTAACCAATGTTATTAATGTACCTTTCAGGGTCCCTGCAAGTCATGAACAAGACGAGGAGGATTATGGAACATGGGGGAGCCACCTTCATCAATGCCTTCGTGACCACGCCTATGTGCTGCCCATCCCGGTCCTCCATGCTCACTGGGAAGTATGTGCACAACCACAATGTCTACACCAACAATGAGAACTGCTCCTCCCCATCGTGGCAGGCGATGCATGAACCTCGGACATTTGCTGTGTATCTCAACAACACTGGCTACAGAACAGGTAAAGGATGATACTTCTAGTCCATGAACCAACCTTTGGTAATGCTTCTTAGCCACAGGATGATGCACTGTGGGATGGGTATATATGAAATTCCATAAAGATCATAAACAGGAGCTACCTAGGCTTTTGTGTTTTCAGTTAGCATCCTTCCTGTCTTCATTGTATACTATAAAGAATGCACCAAATGAAAGAGCCCTTAGAGAAAGTTTAGACTAATCCTAAGTGGCCATGTTATGAAAATGTTGTATCTACCAGAACACCCAGTGGTTGGAGTTTTCCGTAAGAACCTTGAATAAGTTTCAAACTTTTCATCCCCTTGGGTTCCCACCGACTTTTTGAAAGCCTTTCAGATATTATTGATTCATTTATTTGTTCATTCATCATTAATAAGCTTTGACAAGTTTCTTCAGATTAAATTGTGGTCATTTTTAGATCTCAAAAACTCACCTCCATCTTCTGGGAAAGGAACACAATGGTGATACCTCCTCACAGAGCTGAACCTGCACAGAGTAACAAGAGGTTTTTAATTAGTTGGTTTGATCTTTTGAAAACGGGGGGCTTCTTTCAAAGTGGTCATGAGCATTATGACAATCTTCCTGAGAAAGAAGCAATGCTCTTTCTGGTTTTGTTGTCCCCAAATCCCTTCCTTATTCTTCCAGCATGTTAGATGTTGTCCTTGGGTTTTCTGCATGTTTCTTCATGGAGCAAAGGACGTCGATATATGCAGGGTCTGCGGTATAAGAATGTTTTTTTGAGAACTGCTGTGATTTATTCATAAGAATTGAATATGCCATCATTAAAGCTTGTTGGGAATGTTTTTCAGGTCTACAGAATTTTTTTAAAGCGTTTCAGACAGATCTATTCTCTTAAATCTTCCTCTTTAAAAAATGAAATGACTCTTCCCCATTGGACTCAGTAGCTATGTTGCCATTTGGTTCTTTGCAGCAATGCCCTATGGGCATTTAGCATTGTTATTTATGGATGAAAATATTGATTGTGAAGACGGCAGTATTGTCGTTCACAGGCATTGTAAGATCTCTGCTCACAGAGGAAGGGCCTCCCTGAATCGCAAGAGTGTTTACTTATGTTTAGGAAAGAAACTGGGATACATGTTGTTGTTGTTGTTGTTGTTAGGTGCCATCGAGTTGGTACCGATCCATAGCAACCCTATGCACTGCAGAACAAAACACTGCCCGATCATGGGCCAACCTCACTACTGTTGCCACACTTGAGTCCATCGATGCTGCCACTTGGCCATTCCATCTCATTGGGGGTCTTCCTCTTTTTCTCTGACCCTCCATCTTATCAAACACAATATCCTTCTCTAGCGACTGCTCCCTCCTGACAATATGTCCAAAGTATGAGAGATGAAGTTTGGCCATCTTGGTCTCCAAGGAGCACTCTGGTTGCACTTCTTCCAAAATGGATCTATTGGTTCCTTTGGCAGCCCATGGCACTTTCAATATTCTCCTCCAACACCGTAACTCAAAAGCATCAATTCTTCTATGGTCTTCCTTATTCACTGTGCAGCTTCGCATGCATATGAGGTTATTGAAAATACCATGGCTTGGGTCAGGCACACCTTAGTCCTCAAGCTGACATCTTTGCTCCTCAATACTTTAAAAAAGGTCTTGTGCAGCAGATTTGCCTAATGCAATACATCATTTGATTTCTTGACTGCTGCTTCCGTGCAGGTTGATAGTTGATCCAAGAAGAAGGAAATCTTTGACAACTTCAGTCTTTTCTCTGTTGATAAGAATGTTGTTTATTGGTCCAGTGGTGAGGATTTTTGTTTTCTTTACATTGAGATGTAATCCATACCAAAGGCTGTGCTCTTGTGTGTTTTTTCACATTATGAACTCCAATTTATAACACCTTTCACTTGAGACTCTAAAGCAATTTGCAAACCGATCAAACATCCCTGTAGGGTGCATAGATAGCAAATGTACTTTTATTAGTGAGGTGGGGAAATTTAAATATTATGTGACTAATTCAAAATCAAAAATTATTTCCCCAGTTCATGACTTTTACCACCAAATGGGTATTGTTCATGGAAAGAGTTGTGTGAAATCAGTGCTTTTCAACTCCCAGGCTCCCTGTAATGTTTCTCTAGTCACAGACATGCACCTAGAAGGGTTGGGAACATCACTTTAACCAGAGTAACTTGTGCCATGTCCATCAAAAGAAAGAGCGATGTGAGGGTGAAAGCACACTCTGCCGGAACTTAGAGTAGTCACCTAGGGATGGCTGAACTTTTCAGGATTAAATCAGAAAAGGGAAAGAAAGAGAAGAGCAGCAGCGCTGTTGTTGACTTATTCTGTGCCAGGCTTTGCCTAAGTATCTAAACCAATTGGTTTCTCAATTTTGAAAGAAAGATAGGATTAGTCCCATGCTACTAATGAAGAGGAGTTCTGGTGTGGTGCTGTGGGTTAATGCGCCAGACTGCAGAACAGTTTGAACTGCAAGGTTGGTGGTTGAAGCTCACCAGCTGCTACTCGGAAACCCTATGCAGGGTCACTATGGGTCGGAACTGACTTGAGGGCACGTAACCACAACACTAATGAAGAAGGGGACAGTGATGGTTTGGTAGTAGAATTCACACCTTACATGTAGGAGACCTAGGTTTGAGTCCAAGCCAGTGTGCCTCCCATGCAGCCACCATTCATCTGTCAGTGGAGTTTGAGTGTTACTATAGTGGAAATCTCATTGGAACAGCCAAACTAAAATAGTTTAGGAAGAAAGGACTGGCAATCTACTTCCAAAAATCAGCCAATGAAAACCCTGTGGATGATAATGATCAAATCTGTACCCAATCATGGGGACGGTACAAGACCAGGCTGCTGATTTGTTGAAAAATACAGTAGGAAAGATCTCTATGAGTTGGAGACCAATTTGATTTGACACCATCAGGATAAACAGAGCAAAGAGTGAAGTTGTCAAAGGTTTTATTTTGCTTAGATCCACAATCCTTGCCCATGGAAGCAGCAGTCAAGAAGTCAAATGATGTATTGAATTGGGAAAATCTGCTGCAAAGGATCTCTTTAAAGTGTTAAAAAACAAAAATGTCACTTTGAAGACTAAGGTGTGCTTAACCCAAGCCAAAGTAGTTTCAGTCACTTCATATGTTTGCAAAAGCTGAACAATGAATAAGGAATGCCAGAGAAGAATTGATATCGTTGAATTATGATGTTGGCAAAAAAATCTTGAATATACCATGGATTGCCAGAAGAATGAACAGATAACTCTGGACGTACAGCCGGATTGCTCCTTAAAAGTGAGGATGTTGAGGCTTCATCTCATCATGTCATCAGGAGAGAGCATCGCTGGAGAAGGATATCATGCTTGATAAGTAGAGGGTCAGAAAAGAGGAAACCTTTCAGTGACATGGATTGAAACAGTGGCTGCAGCAATGGGTTCAAACACAGCAGGGCCTGAGAAGATAACACAGGCTAAGACAGTGCTTAGTTCTGTTGGACTTAGGGTTGCTGTGAGTTATAACCTAACAACAAAAGCAACACCACCACCAATGAAGAAACCAAGAATATGTGTCTGTGTTGCCTCATTGCAGAGACACATGAAATATAGGCTAATGAATGGGAGCCAAACTAGTTAAAGTCAAGGGAAAGGCTGGTATGCAAACTGCATGCTATGATCCTACAAAGAAAGCATATTTCCAACGACGCTTATAGATGGCTAAAAGCAAAAGTGAAAACACCACCCATTACAAAATTCACAGGGTCACCAAGTTTAAACTTAAGCAGTTGCTTCTAAGAAACATAATATTCTCTTGTTTCATTTACACTAACTGCATTGAACCTACAATGGATTACAAGAGTGTGAATGAAATATACAGATAATACAGTTCAACTCCGTTACTTTCAGATGAGCAAATCTAGGGCTTGATTTGATTGAAGTGACTTGCTGAAGTAACAGATCTTACGTAATAATGGGATGAACAAGCACCAGAACCTTGGTCTTCAGGACTCTTTCCAGTACACCATCCTAAACTCCAGGTCATGCCTAGGATGAGATCGTGTGTGTGTGTGTGTGTGATAAGCTTTCTGTCGGTCCTTTAGTGCAGCACAGCATGCCTGCTTCAGTCAGTTGTCTTTTTCCGGGACAGTAGACTTGCTTCTGGAAATTAGGTCTAATTCTGTAGCCAGTCTTCTTAGACTCTTAGATTAGTACGGGAATTTATAGTGAGTCAGCCTCAAATCAAAGGAATTCCTTAAAGGAAAGAAAGACTTCTCCAAATACTTACCCAGTGAGCATTAGGGAAGAATGATATTCACTCAGGATACTAAATATTCATGTACCTATTAGTAAATCAGAAAGGTTAGAAATCAGAAGTCTAAACTGACAGTAATAGAGATTTATGTAAGGTAAATTAATCTGTGATGGGGAAAAGTGAAGTGTCCTAGACAAATAGGAAAAAAGGTGACTTTGTAACAATAGTTATTGATCAAACTTTGGACAGAGACCCATTTGAAATTGCACAAATAAGCAAATCAGGATAACAGATATCTTAGGAAATTAAGAGAATTGGTAAGGAGGTATTGAACAAGCAATGATTATTTATGAGACAACAAATTTGATGGGAAAAAGTGAATGTATAAAGATTTTATTGTTTTCTAAATGAATAAATCAAATGAAGTATTGCATTTGGCACCGCTACTGCACAAAACCTCTTTAAAGCGTTCAAGAGCAAAGATATTAGTTTGAGGACTAAGGTACACCTAACCCAAGCCATAGTATTTTCAGTAGCCTCATATGCATGTAAAAGTTGGACACTGAATAAGGAAGACCATAGCAGAATTGAGGCATTTGAGTTACGGTGTTGGAGAAAAATATTGAAAGTGCCATGGACTGCCAGAAGAACAAACAAATCTGTACTGGAAGAAATATAGCCAGAATGCTCCTTAGAAGGAGGTCAGAATGTGAAACTTCTTCTCTTATACTTTGGACATTTTATCAGGAGGGACCAGTCCCTGGAGAAGAAC